TGATCCTTTTCGAGGTTGAGTATTTTTCATACATTTATTACATTTTCATACATTTATCTGGTTTTCTTCTTCTGTGAATTTCCTTTGTATATCCTTTGCCCATTTTCTTCCCTGTGGAATTGTTTTTCTTGCTCTTATTTATTTCAAGGAGCTCTTTGTATATTAGGCATACTAACAGTTGTATATGGCAAATGTGTTCTTCCAAGCACCTTCAGAAGGTATTGAATCCCTATAAATTCTATTCTCTTTTTTGTTGGTTCATGACCTATCCCTTTGTTCTCTTTCCTTCTAGTTGCTTTTTTGGCTAGTCTATTTACTGTTTTATTTATATCATTACTAAACTAGAAGAGAACAAGTTCTTTGGAATTAAATAATTGAACAGTGATTATAACAACTTCAGTTTAATTAGAAAGGAAATGAAAAACCCTCACTTACATGGAGGATTTCATAGGAGTGTCCTTTCTATTCCAATTTTTTTATGAGTTAGTTTTTTCTTTAGAACCATGAATAATGACTGACTGTATATTCCTGTGAAAACATAGAACTCCCTGATATATTGGCCAATGAAATGTAAAAAATGCAGTTACTCATTTGGATGCTCCAATGATCAAATATTTCAATAACTGGCCACATATTTTTTAATCTAGCTGTTCAGCATTCTATAAACATGGATTCTTAATGACTTAGGACAAAAATATTAGCATGTATGAACAACTACAGTATGACCACATAACCAGTCAAATGTTTGGTCAGTTTCCAAATATCTGAAGTATTTATATGACACTCCAAACTAGAATTTTTTTTTAAGCAGATAGCTGTGCTAATTTATTTTTTCATACTATGAAAACAAAAAACCATAAAAAGTGCTCACTAATTTATATGGAAATGCCCGGGGCTGAAATATAGGTCAAAGTACACAATCTTAGAAAAAGAAAAACTGTCTGAAAATGTCATATTTTTCATGGAGGCATTCAGATTGCTGGCTCTTGCAGATATACATAGAGAAAGGAGAAACAAATGCTTGGTAATATTTTTAAAAACAATAAATTCCTATGTCAATCTTCCTAATCTTCCCCAAATAAAAATTTACCCTTTTCTTTCTCCTCCTGATATATGTATAATATATAGTCTGCCTAGTAGTTTACATCTTTCCTAAATGTTTTTATTTTATTCAGGCTAAATAAATAGTCTTTTCTTGGTGCTGAACTACTTTTATATAAATGGAGTATATTTTATGACTTGGCTGTATTCATGGATAACCATTGGAAATCTCTCCCCAAATAAAAATTTACCCTTTTCTTTCTCCTCCTGATATATGTATAATATAAAGTCTGCCTAGTAGTTTACATCTTTCCTAAATGTTTTTATTTTATTCAGGCTAAATAAATAGTCTTTTCTTGGTGCTGAACTAATTTTATATAAATGGAGTATATTTTATGACTTGGCTGTATTCATGGATAACCATTGGAAATCTTGTTTGAGGTCATCATTGAGACCAAATTTAAAATTCTCTTTTTTTCTTTACAAAATTAGAGAACATTTCTGGAAATATACATCCTTAAGTTTATTCTTATACAACAATCACAATTCCTTGAACTTGTTAAGACAAATGAACAGATATGATGTTGATGGGGAGGAGAGGAGAGAGGGAGGGGGGAGGGAAGAATTGCCAAAGGGGACACAAAAATCAACTACATTGTATATTGATAAAATAAAAAAACAAAAGAATAAAATTAATGACATATTGTGATTAGCTAAAAAAAATTATTCTTACAAATTATACTATTGAGAATAAAGAGAGGCTACTATCGTTTATCTAGGGAGCCAATTACCTTTCACTTTATAATATTAAAAATACTTATTTCTAGAGATGTTTTTTATATTTTCATTAGTGAACTACTGTTTTCTGGGAAAACTATGTATATATCATTATGCTTCCTTGTCTTGTTTGCTCTTGATCGCGAAACAAGGATTTTGACATTAGTTACCCATTAAGTTTTAAAGTTAGGCATAGTCGATTCTATCATTTTAAACTTTTATTTTATATCTTTAATAACTCTTGTTCTCGGCAAGTTTAATTTAGGAAGGCAGAAAAATTAATCTTGGTATGCAGAAGGAAAGTATTTGACAGCCAAGATAACCAGCATTTATGCAAACTGAAAATTACTTGCCTGTCAAAATCATTGTTTATGAAGATTTAAGAAAATGTAGATAACATTATGACTGTTTATAAGTTAAAATCCATTGCCTCTACCCTGAATCCATAGGTTAGATTTTTATCTTGTTTTTGCTTTTTTTTTTAATCTAAGAAGATAGTAGCATACTTAAAAAAATTGTTTACACTATAATGGGCAAATTTATCTTTGCATATATGAGATAGACTTATCATGTTTTGGAAATTTAAAAAACTGTTGTAGTTACACTCTGTTGTAATAAAACTTTATTTTTTCTCCAGCTCTGCTATGTATATAGGTCATCTGTTTTTGTTTTCTGGGCTAGGTTTGGAATGAAAGCAAGCTAGACTTGTGGCTCAGTCTGTTTTCTCAATAAAAATACTGGTACCATTGGTGGTCACAGGAGTCTTCAGAGGTCCTTCATGTGTTCTTCTTTGACAAATGATTGGGCACAAGTGACTAACTAGTGGAGTTTAATAATAAAAAAGATAACAATTTATAATGTTATATTACAATCAGAGTTCATCTTCACACTTATTTTAACTCAGATTCATTTCCCTTAGTTAAAAAAGAAAGTTTGTTTAGAAGTAGCCAGAAGGAACAGAAGTGGTCATTTTGTAGTGAGTCATGGACAAAAAATTCAGAAAACTAATATAATTTGTGCACTCAGCATCTGTTTATCAAGGATACTAATAGATTACTAATTAATTAGTTAATTAAATAAAGTCCATTCATTATACATTTTTGTACAAAAAGAGCTGTATTAAAGACAAATTTCTACTCTGTGATAGAAATAAATAGGGTAATCATGGGTCACATCAAATTAAGTGTGACTAGTTTGTAGTGGCTGATTTATCATTTAACATAGACACTCACTTTGGGTATATTATGGGCGCTGGTGTGGGGCCACTAGGATGATGTGGTGGATGCATGTGTGAAAACTATATTCTAAATATATGGTCTAGGTGGTCAAATTCTATGAGTATGCTGGGTGTGTCCAGACAAGAGTTTTTAACTATAAGCATAATTATGTTTACTCTAAAAGTGAGACAAAGCTAAGCAGGATCACATAGGGAAAAAAGATCCTCAAGGACCTGTTTAGATAGTTGCTTCTAAGGAAAAACAAATGAACAAAAATAAAGGCTTTAGTCAAAGACTTGTCAATTCTATTTTTAATGATTAATTAGGTAGCTGAGTTTTTCTCCCTTTTATCCTTGGAGAAAATGAAAAATAACAGGTCCTCTTCCACTTTAGACTAACCGTTTATATATTTTATGACAGTTTTGTCTCACCGAGCCTTCGCTTCTCCAGGACAAATTATGCTCACTTCTTCAGTCTCTCCTTATAGGTCTTATTTCTCAAACATTAAGTCATATTATTGTTCTTTCCTGTATCTTTTCCTCAAAATTTCTTCAAAAACGCTTTTAAGAATATAAAGCATTAAAGTTTGTATCTTTGCATGTATTAGATAGGTTAGAACTTCAGGAAGATATTTATTTCCACTCTTTAAAAGAGAGGGTCACTATGACAGGTCCGCTTTTAAGAATATAAAGCATTAAAGTTTGTATCTTTGCATGTATTAGATATGTTAGAACTTCAGGAAGATATTTATTTCCACTCTTTAAAAGAGAGGGTCACTATGACAGGTCACTTGGATTAAGGGAATAAGTAGAAAAAGAGAAACTAGGTGAGCAATTTAATATTTGACTTAATGGATTTATATAATCGGAAATAGTGAAACCTGTGCCTGGAAAAAATGTCACAAGTGTTCTTTATAATGTCTTTTGTTGAGATATTAAAACACAAAATTATAAAAATAGTAGAACCAATTTTGTTTTATCTTTAAATACTCTGATGCTTCTTTTTATTATCTTTCTGTGAAGGAAAAGACTGATAGGTGAGCTACTATAGTTCCAAATTCAGAACAAAAATATGTAATAGAGGAAGATGATCACTGCTAACTCAAGAAAGGGCACAAGGATTCAGCATTAGAGTAAGTGACCTCAGCTTAACAAAGGGTTAGAACCATTTTTTCAAGCAGATACAAATGCCAAGAGGGGGCATTTGTGGAGTGTTACCTAGCGAAGAATTATTTTTCCTTCTTTGGTAGGACATGGCCACTAGGAAGAGTGAGCTATTGGCTTTACTGATGTACTATCCTGGATTCATGGCATTGTGCTGTCTTTGCGGCATCACCTTGATTTCGCATAATTAGGGTATTGTTATTTCAACCTCTGCATTCCATGAGGGACAGAAAGGAACCCATAACCTATAAACCAAGTTCCCTTCTATAGCAGATATTGTGAGAGCAAGCTTCCACTGTAACAAAAATCTAGGTTAAAATCTCTATACTTTTTAGTCTTTCTTACTCTAATTTAAGTTCATTGGTAATTCAATTTTATATTTTATAACTTAACTTTCAACATAAAGTCTTATCTATGCCCAAAGCAAAATACCTGGCTTTCTCCCTATTCTGTATCCTTGGTTATGAACTATAAAATGAGGTGAGCTACTTCATAGGTGTCACAAGAGAGAGAAACGCAGTCACTACAAAAAGATGTTACTACGTTCTTTCCAATATCCTCCTTATAAATCAACGGTAAATAATAAAGATCATAACAAAGTCAGCTTACATGGGCTTTAACTCCCCAGAAGGAATGCTGCATGACTCACCAGTTGCTGATTTATTTTCACTTTATGGCAGGATAAAAGTATCAATTGGCCATGCCGTATTGAAAAACCACAGGCAGACCTTGGTGGGCTCTTGTATTGAATGGTGTGCAGTCGTGAGATATTCGTATTTTTGCACTAACCCCTCTTTGAAAGCTAATGCAGTGCGGTCTTACCATTTTTGCAGACAGGACAACATTGTTCTGGTTCATAGACTGGGTTGACACATTCAGGAACTGCGCAGTCTGCTACAACACAGTGAACTTCATTGCTGGGCTCACAGCGACACCATTCACATGGAGAGGGCTAGGAACAAATCTAAAATTAGCCCCTTTTCTCCTATAACTTAATGCTTGCACATTCATATGCTGTCAGAAGACAAAACATCAGTGCTTATATTGGCTTTACTGCATTAACTCCATTTACCATGTGTGTGATCATTCTCCCCCGAATGGAAGGCAACCCAGACATCTCAGCCATGGTGGGGTGTGATGTGTAGGTCAGGCCGCCTTGAACAACTAGGGCACCCGTGTAACGATCTTTCCTACGTTTTCTTTTCCTACTTTTCTATTTCCAGAGAAATATTTGGACAACTAATGTCATCTCCTGGTTTGGTTTCTAGATGAACCGATTGCTCTGCCTTCCTCTGGTAAACAGGATTGATACTGGAACATTTGAAACAATTTTTACTATTTGTCATTTTTTTCTTCCTGAGAAAAAGGAGGATTACTGAAAAACAAGAAAATGGTAAGCGGACATCTTTACCCTTTGTGTGAACTCTTTTTCAAACTAACCTAGACTCTAAGTGGCATTTTTCAACGTGAATTTTAGAGGAGATGCATTTGGGATCCAAACATCCAGGTACTGACTCTTGAAAGATTTAGTGAATACCTTTCATCTTGCCTGTTTGCTTTTATGAATGACTAAAATTGATTGACTTAAAAAGCCACTACTTAAGTAAAAGTCAAAACTCTAAAAATGGCATTGAAAAGGGATTAATTAAGAGGAAGAATAAAAAAGTAGAAAAGAATCTGTCATCACTGTACTTACTGACAGAGAGTGAGTTTGGAACTTTCTTTCTTTTCTAAGAACTGCCTATGCCACAAATAATCTAAAGCAGTGGCCACTCTGTGACTTTCCTCTCCTTTACAAGTTCCTCCTTTAGTAGAGACATTCTCATGAAACTGAGGCTTAGAATTCTGGAATGAAAACTTGGAGTCTTAGAAGTCATACAGTGTCTATACTTCTCAAATCAGGCTATTTGTTCTTGGAAAGTTCTGTCTCCAACCTGGTGTTACATTTCCTCACTTGCAAATATTGATAATCAGAGCCTTCTTCCCTTGTTTTGGCTACTGTCCAGACCCCTGTCAGTTCTCTTTTATTCCTGGATCTCACAACTGGGTAACATCAACACTTCTTGACTCAGGCAGTCTGTGGGGGTGGAAACATTTCAACTAATTATTTTTTAAATTCATTTTGTCTTTGCTTTCTGCTTGAAGAATGATAGTCTAACTTTAATTATTTTATTTTTAAATTTAGTGTAAATAAGAGAATTAGCCATAGAATCTGTGGTAAAGTATTGCTATTTCTTAAACTGTTCTATAAGTTTTTAAAGGGATCAGTTAAGTTGTTTGCCATGTGGTGAGTTGTGTTTAAGCATTTCAGAGGAATCTACTATCCCAAGGGTTGAGATATTCCTGAAGTTTCTCAACGATTTGATGAAGAAAATTTTGAATAAGGAAACAGTGTAAGAGATGTAAACTCTTGATGATATACTGCTCTTTATTTTGCAAGCACCATTGTGATAATTCCCAAGCAAACTTGTCTGGTGTACCCCTTTCCTTGGTTAACTACAAAGCAGTATTTTCACACAACCTTCTAAAGTTCAGCAAAGACTTGAGCTGTATTCGTTGCTAATGTTTGAGATAAAGGAGCCGCTAATATAATCCCTTCTATACCCTCCCCTTCCACAGCTGGGTGGTTTGTTCTTGCTGGTTCTCTTATTGCTTTAGGAAAAGCTGGTCTGTGCAATTCTAGTGGACTGATTCTGGGAATAAAAATCTTAAAGCGACCATAAACATTCCAATGCAAAATGTTTACTTTGAAGTAACTGTACCCTTTGAGAAAGACTTGTTGAACTATGAGATTCCCAACACAGACTGATGAAAAACACCCTTCTAATTTAAACTATGTGTTTGAACATTTTTAGCTACTGGGCACTGTGCTAAGCAGTTTACCTATATCAACTTACTTATTTCTTATAATAACTCTATTAAGGGAAATTTGTTTTTATCTCCATCTGACAGATGAGGAAATAGGCTGAGAGGTTCAGTGGCTTTCCCAGGTCCTATTGTTAAGTAAGGGGCCAAGGCAAGATTTGAATCCTGGCATCCTAACCACTGTACTGTGCTGCCACTTGCTACAAGAATCACCATTTTATGTACCTCTATCTGAATAGTTGATTTTCCAATGTTTAGTACACTTGTCCATGCAGACCAGATCCACAGGAACCATTAACAACTGAATAGGTTTATAGTGGGTAGATACTTCCTCCTAAGAAAGAGAATTTCACTAACTTGGGTATTTTGAGCATAAAGAGATTATTACAGAACCTTAGAGCTTTTTAACCTTCTGCAAAGGTAAGTAAGAAAATTGTAGTAAGTGGTTTAGGTTGCTGTGAGGTTCACATTCTCAGGGACACTGGCATTCTCAAGCCTTGGAGCCTGGTAACTACATCTGCAGGAGTCAGGGAGAAGCAGTAACAGATAATGTTCCAGTAAAGAGCAAAATCGGTAGAGGCTAGATGTGTGTACATGGGTTGGCACTGGAATCCTGAGGAACACTCTGAGGGAGAGCTAAGACCACAAGGTGATAAAAGTATATCTGACATTTTGAAGGGGTTTTGAATAATGAGAAACATAAATCAGAAAAAATACAAATACCACCCTAACTACTGGTGGCTTCTAATCTTGCCCGGAACCTGGCTTTATGTACTGTGCTCTGTGCCTTCCTGGACCAGAATCCCTTATCATAGCACATTATGCCTTCTTTTGTCTTTATTAAATGTTTTTTTTTCAAATATTCTGTCTCAATTTCAGTTCATTTCTTCACATCTCAAGCCTCACGTTCCCTTCCTGGACCAGAATCCCTTATCATAGCACATTATGCCTTCTTTTGTCTTTATTAAATGTTTTTTTTTTCAAATATTCTGTCTCAATTTCAGTTCATTTCTTCACATCTCAAGCCTCACGT